CGCCCTGAATTCGGGGAAAAGATAGCATGACAGCACTTTTATTAAGGGTCCATCTTGTAAATTACTTATATGTATAAAATGAATAGGACAGACTATGGGGTCGTTTGGATGAGAGATTGTGGCAGGATTGTGATGCAGGATTTTAAAACAATCCCACATAATGAGGGATTTTAATCAAATAACTCGTTTGGAAAGAGTTGGGATTGTGACCATCAGTGATTTTAAAAACCCACATATGTGGAATTTTAAAATAGCTGATGAGGGTCAGCTATTTTGAAATCACTCATTTTGTTTTTGTTTTTTCCAACTTGGCCCTTCTCCTTCTTCTTTCGCCTTCGACCACTGCCCAGTAAACTTCACCCATCTTCTTCCAGTTCGATTTCGCCGGCGAAACTTCCTCTTCCTCAACTCTCTCTTGTCGGCGTTGAGGTATTTGGGAACAGCGTCCAACAGCATCCTCCGATCTTCCTCCTTTTCTTATGGCGAATATGGGTTCGTGAGTTGGAGCCGGAGATTGGAGCGCTTCGACAGGACGGGAGGCGAGAGAGCGGATTTCAGGCAAACAGTTCTTCCTTGTCTTCCTATCTCGCTCGTGGTGGCCGGCCGATTTCAGACGAGAACTGCTTTTCCTTTTCTTCCTATCTCGCTCGATTTCTGACGGTACGGGAGCGGGAGAGCTAATTGCAGACAACTTTGTTCTTCCACTTCTTCCTATCTGGCTCCCATCGAATTCTCCGTTTCTCTGATTCCTCCAACGGTTATCCTCGCCGTCTTATTCTTGAAACAGTACGCTAGGGTTCTTGGTTCAGCGTTCCCAGAGTAGCCGAGGAAGAAACGAAGAAGAAGATGAAAAGGGCAATAATGTATTTTCACTTTTCCATTAAAAACCTTGATCTCTAAACAAACAAGAGATTTTATACAAATCCTTAATAACAAATATTTGGTTTTTTAGTTGAGAGATTTGAGGCCAAATCTCTCACAAATCTCTCAAATTAAAAACCTTAATCCAAACCACCCCTATAAGTTTTGCTGAAGCAAACTAGAAATCTCATGAAACAAACCACAAGCTTTTTATTATAGTGACGGAAAACATTTCGGTAAAAATAGAAAAAATAAGAAAACTAATAAGCGAGCTTCAATAAAACATAAAAAAAATCTTAGAAGACAATAACAATACCGAAGAACAAATTTGGAATGTCAATGTAGAGAAAACAAAAAAAAAACTACACTCTGGTCTAGAATTAGCTCAGGATGTAATTGATAACGTTATAACATATATAAAAAATGAAAAAAAAGATGATTAATGAATCTAGTAAAAACTCTATGCATACAACAATTGTACCATAAGTAGATCTTAAAGAACTAATAATAAAACTTTGAGAAATAACGACTGAATTATATAATAAAATATGTGTTACGATTGAAGATATGGAAGAATATGTAGAACAACTACAAACTAAATATATCCAATTCTCTTACAATTGTAACAATCTACAATCATTTATAACAACCATTGATGAACAAAATAATAAACTAAATAACTGATTAGCAACTATAAGCATAGATCTAGAACCATATGATAATAGTGAAAATGAAAAAATATTTTTGGATTATAGTAGGATGAAAATAATTCTTATACAAACTATGTAAAAACTGAATAAGTTTAAACATCTAGAAACGCAATTATGAATACTTTTCTCTTGGACAATTTTCTTATGAAGACTTTTTATACAAAAATTCTTACACTTTGGGGGGGGGGGGTGGAATATAATACCGAAACCTTTTTCTTTAATTTTTTTAAATCTTTAATATTTATTCTTCATGATCTTTTTTAGTTATTTGTGAAAGATAATGATACCATCTTGAAAACCTTCTAAAACATTATCCATAAAACGTTGATAGATAACTGATGTTTGTTTTAGACCAAATGATAAAATGTTTCATTCAAAATGTTTTGTAATGGGCAAGAAAATGTTGCGAGTGTGGTTTAGTTTTTTCATGTAATCTTTATTGCCAGTATCGTGATTTTATCATCTAAAATGCTAAACCAAATATGACCCTTATGTCTTTCTAAAATATAATCTTTTCATGGTAGTTCGTAACAATCACTAATACTATTTTCATTTTTTTTTAGTTAATGATCATCAGTCTTTTTTTCTCGTTTAATTTCATTATTATTTTCTACATAGGAAGCATGTGCACTAGATGACCTCTTGTTTTCTGTAATTATTCTTTTTTTAAGAGTTTCACGCATTCTTTTTGAAATTCTTCTACATTGTTTTGGGTATACTGTAATTTATTAGGTACATTTGCTTAAGTATTATGATCTTTAAGTTTATTTCTATTAATTTAATATTTTTGTTGTTGTCTAGAGGATGTTCTCTACAAACTTCTTCGATTATATCATAACTTATTTGAATATATTCCAATCTATTTTTAAGGTTGTATTATTTGTAATTATTTGTTTTATTTTTTGATACTTTTAATAATTCATTGATAACTTATGTCTTATGAGTAGATTTGATAAGTGTTTCTATAATCAAATGAATGGATTGTTCAGTTTGAATTTATGTAGTAAACTTAGATAGTTCTTTTAAGTGAGGCATGATCTATTGTGTTAATTCTCATCTTCATCATCAAGCATTTAAGAAATCATGATGATAAGTAGAGAATTGGGAGCAATAAATCTAACAAGCATAAAACATATACAACATCGAATTAGTGAATTACAATGAGAATTATCTTGTGAAATTAGACGTCACCAAAATTATATACTTGAATTAAACATTAGACACTCAAATTATCCATATCGAAGAAGAATTCATTAAATTTATCTTCTTCAAGGAATAATAATTACATAATTAGAACAAGCAATGGTAATAGATTATACATTTAATTAAAAATCTATAAGTACATTTAAAGTTTAAAAAATGATAAAATACATGTAATTCAATTTGATTAGGAATAATTATATTTTGAAATGTGTTTTTTAAAAGAACCTACCGAGTTATTTTCTTGAATAATATAACTTCTTAAATATGACAATACTACTCATTAAACAAGTAGAGAAAGTTTTAAATATAATTAGTTTCTCACAGCAGCAAAGCGCGGATAAAAAAATTAGTTTCTATTAAATTACAATCAAAATAATAGATGTGATTGAAAGGTTCTACAGATAAAATGCTGTTGTGGGCTTGCGGCTCACAGATTTCCGATAAAAAAATGTTGTTGTGCCAGAACAACCAAAAAGAAAAAGACAATGGGAAATTGAAATAGCTAGGGTTTCCATTGGGATTTTGTATGGGCCAAAGACTAGCTAAAGATTACCCACGTGTTATTAGTTTGATTTCGAGGTCCCTCGCTTTCCTCTCTAAGCCGTTGATCCCTTTCTTCCTTGGAGGTCTGATTTCTTTGAATTTTGTCCTTAAATACAGTAAACATTAAAAAAAAAAAAACTACAATACACAACTTTTATAAAAAATCCCCAAAATGCCAAAGTTTGGCACTGATCGAGTTTAATAAACTGGAACTACACCCGGATCGATTGCCACATCATCGATCTATATGCATCGAGTGGAAGGGCCACGTTTGGCTTAGACCAGACGACGCAGATCGATTGTTAGGAACTCGATTATAGTGGATCGATGCAGCGGGATCGATGATGCGGATCGATGACGTAGGACTCGCTCCATCCTAGATCGAGTCTTCAAAATACGATCCACACCGTTCGATTCTCTTTGCCGCGAACTAGTGGCGACGCAGATCGAGTTTAAAAAACTCGATTTCAATAGTTTGACGCCTTGGGACTCGATCAAGTTGACATAGATCGATGACATTGAACTCGATCCACCGTCGATAGAGTTTTCAAGACTCGATCCCGCCCATTCGATTTTCCTTGCCGTGAACTGGGTTGACACAGATCGATTGCAGTAAACTCGATCCACTAGTTCGAGTTTCCTTCACGCGATCCACTACCAGCCACAGAACCTATAAATACCCCTCATTCCACCCAAACTCACACCACTCCACTCTTCTTTTTCTCTTCCTTCCACCACTCTTGAAGAAAAAAAAAATGCTCTGTGGTTGCGGATAGGTCCGATCTTCCGCATAAAATTTTCTCTCTCTTTAGTTTGGTACCTCTATCACTCAATATTGCCGAGATGGACCCGAATATTTACGATCCTAGATTATACATTCAAGGCGGACTGCGAGAAATCGATTTGTTGGATGAGCAACCTTACCATCAGTCTGATAGTGTTTGGGCGACAGACCTGGTAATAGAGCTGGTAATCAGTCGGTATCGGTATAACCGGTTACCGACTTACCGGTTATCGGTTTTACCAAGATGCCAAAATGTTCTACTTACTACAGGTACCGAGTAACTATCGGTAAACCGGTTACCAACTTTCCGGTAACGATTATTGTTCTGGTTATCAGAAGAAACCGAGTAAGACTTTCTCTTCTCTCTTTCTTCGTTTCTTCCCAACTGAGCACTCTCTGCAGTAGGCGACTGGAGAAACGTCCGAGAGGCAGAGTAGCAGATCTGGCGCTCGGCTGCTCTCTATCTCCCTCGCGCATGCAATGACGGTCATCGGTGAATCTCTGATCGTCTGTGGAGGTGTTGTGGCGACGTCTGTTAGCAAACTTGGGATAATAGTTGATTCATGGTGGATATCATTTAGCAAACTTTGAATACTAGTTTGTGCTTTCTAAATACTTTAGTACTTGGATATTAGTTCATGTATTTTGGATATCAATTAATATCTGCTAACGAATCTTCAAGTTAGCGGATTAACTTTCCACTGGAACTTGGAGGAGCGAAAAAAAATAAAAAATAAAAATTCCCTGGCTAGCAGCATTGCCCCACCCAACCGCTGATGAGGTAACGCTTCTTTCGTCCAATCCGAACCTGACTTCGTCTGATCGGCCACTTCCCCCGAGCTAATGCTGTATGTATGCATCATTAACTTTTCTTAGAATGGGATTGGTAAATAAATTATCATATTTTCAAGCCTCAGCCTTATATGTCCTTTGGGAATCTGCGTGTTTCCCTTTTGACTCGTCCAGACTAAAACAGCCAGCCTATCCTTCTGAGTTCCGTTCCCCAACTCCGAACTCAGCCGCGGCCGACACCGGAGAAAGACCATGCCCAACTCTCTCCGGTCCCTCCTCCGTCACGGCCGCCGGCTTGAGTAATCAATTTACCACCCGATCCAACCTCTCTCTCTCTCTCTCTCCTAGCTCCTCCGCAGAGATTCCTTATCAATTACTACATCCATGTCCAATTCCAATTCCAATCCCTTATCTATTATCATAATCGAAGATGGCAATGCATGCGACGCCCTCCCTCTCGACGTCTGCCCAGCCCCTCCCAATTCATCATCCGCCGGGAGATCCCCGAAGCTCCCTTATCCAGCACCGGAAATGCAGGTTCAAATTCCAGTGGACCGATCTGAATCTGGTCAATCGGTACCGGGACCGGCCCAGCGGCAGTCCCCGAGCTCCTCCACCCATTCGCACGGAGGAAGCGGCAATGCATGTCAGTCCGGCTCTGCCGAGCTGGACTATCGGCAAGTGAAAACGCGATCCAGAGCATCTCAGATGCAGATGAACGGCAGTGGACCTCTGGTGAATGCTGAATCCGCTCAATTAACTGCAGAGGGAAAGGACGGCGGTTCTTTAAGACGATCCCCTAGGTTATCTTCTGTTACTCCGCAACCTCAAATTCTCCCGGAGAGGAGCGGGCGTCGAGGTAGAGACTTCCCGATTGATTCTGAACAGGGAAAGAGCACGAGGAGGTCGCCGCGGCTGGGTAATTCGAGCCCCGGGATAACGTCTCGGGAACTGGAAGTAGCCGGCGGTTCAGGGAGGATGAAAAGCGAAGGCACGGGAAAGAGAGGCGGCGGAAATCAGCGAGAAAATCTGCTTCCCCAAAGAAGGTCGCCGAGGCTGGGAAATGTGGAAATAGTTTCTGTTCCTGAAGTGCGAAAATCGAGGGAGAGTGGCTTCCCAAACGGTAACAACAAGAGGCAATTCGACGGATCGGCGGCGAGAAGGTCGCCGAGATTTAGCCCCGACATTGGATTGGAGTTGATGGAGCTTCCTTTACTTCAGGTCCGCCACTTCGACTCACTCTACTTCTCAACTCTATCCAGTGATGAACTAAAATTGAAATATTGCCGATGTTATTTCGTTCTTACTTTTCACACTTTTGAGTTTTGACATTGGAATTCACGAAAAGGAAGACCTGCCGGTCGCGGCGCGGGGTTGGTTATTTGTTAAAAGTATAATTTAGGCCCTCTACTTTATACCGTAGACAGATTAATCCCTAATACGTAAACTAATTCGCATTTCAGTCATTTTATTTATAGGAACAATCCGAACTTCAGCATACTGTCTTGAACAAGTGAATTTCACATGAAAATTTGCTTCATTAGCTAAATCATCTTAGATGATTTGTTCCCTGAACATTGCAACTGTTTTTTTGGTCCCCTATTGTCCATTATTGGTCGAGAATTACGTAGGAAGACACAATGACGCTTGTCTGATTGCAAGTAATTGGCTTGGCGAGTACATTGCTGTTGTTCTGTTTCATTTCTGATTCAATTATTCCATGCTCCAGAGTAAAAGACAGAAGGTTCGAGGTTTATCAGTGAAGTAAGTGTTCTCAAGGGCACAAGTTTTCCATTAGTTCAATGTCTGTTTCTGTTGTTTACCGGCTTTCGTGTTTTTTCTAACTCAAACTGTATCATTCCAGTGGTGGGCGTAGAGAAGAGGGTGCAAAGGAATTAAGCATCGTGCGTTTGAGTGAGAGGAATCAAACAGGATCTCAGGCAGGTTCATCTCGTCCTGGAATTGGTATACGCTCTTCGAACGGCACAATGCAGATGGCACCACCTTGCATCCATAATGTTGGTTCTCCCTCTATGTCATTGACACCTTCTGATCCTGAATTAAATGCATTAATGGAATCAGAAACTAAACTATTCTTGCTACCTTGCAGCGAGATGGTGAGACTGAGGCTCTTGCTGCATCCTGCTGTGGTTCTGTTGGTGTTTTTGATGAAAACAAATGTAGCATCTCTCCTGAGTACATATCGTTGACAGAAAGTGCAGTTGGTAATGATATGTTAGGGAGTGTTTCCAAAAAGCTTCTGGATGGAAAACCATTAACAAGATGCCCAGGACTTGTTTTGCCTAGTAACATTGCTAAAGACATTGACACAGTTTGCAGTTTGGGTGAAATGTCCCATTTGTTGGATAAACAGCTTCTTGAGAAGTCCTTGACATTATGTACTAGCTCAAGTCACTCTGCTGTAGTCGAGCAATGCAAAATGAACTATGCCATGGTAGAGTTCCCGGAGTTGTTTGATGAACTCCCAGCAAAGAACAAATCAGACGACCAATTATCTTTAGACAAAAGGAAACAACCTTCTCTGAATAATGAGTTGAAGGAACAGAGAGGTCCTTGTTTAATTGGCGATCCCATTGCGAGCGACGAAGCTCAGAAAAGGTGGCATTGGCGATATGAGTTGAAGGTAAACAAGTGATCTAGCTCACTGAGTGCTTTTACTCACAAGTACTGTTTAAATGTAGGTCTTTTTTAACGTTTTATGAGTTTCAGGGTTTCTGAATGTATCATTTGGTTTGTATGGGATGTGTAAATTTGTTAGATTCATTTCTTCACTTAGGTGAATTCTTATGCTCCACGCTTTCTGTCAATAAAATATTATAGTGTTTATTCTCTTAATAAACTTGTTTCATTGTCTTCTTGCTTGCCCTTGCCTCGTTTAGCACTTTTTTTGTTTGGAACATTGACAGTGGAATTTTTGTTGGCAGAGTAAAAGATCAAGAGATCGAAGGTTAAAGCCGGAGTAAGGCTCAACTCGAGCTCTCTTTGTGCTGGGTTTTCTTCTCTCTCCTTTCTGTCTCTCTCTCGCTCGTTTGATTGTGATGGTACTCTCCGAAATTTCTGGGTTGTTAAACTTCTTAGCTTAGTTCCTTTGTTGCCACTCTTGTGTATGCTCATTTATAGTGAGGATGATGAAGATCAGATTATTTGGAATGTGGAGTGTCATTATGCTCAGGCTGAAGTTGATGGCTGCGTGTTTGATCTCGAGGATTGTGCAAATATAAGGGTAATTTCAGTTGGCTTATTAAGGTCTTACGATTATCTATTTACGTTTTTCTCTACTTTGCTTTGTTATACTTCACCTCATCAACTCTTCTCTGCTTCGCATATATATAATAATTTTCATATGAAGGCTACCTACTTGAATTCATGCAATAGTACTTGGGTCCATAGCTTCGAAGTATTACATTTCTTCAATTTGCAAGTAAATTGAATGTCAGTTGAGGGTCATCAATCCCGTTGTTGTTTGGCGTTTGCTAACTAGTGCATGCTGCAGGGACAAGAAGGACAAATGCACATTGGAAAGATAGTTGAATTTTTTCGATCAACGGATGAAGAAGACTATTTCAGGGTTCAGTGGTTTTATAAAGCTGAAGACACAGTAAGTAAATTAAACTGTGTCTGGATTATGCTAGGCAAGGCTCATGTTTATCTTGACTATTTCTATTGTGGTTTGTCTTACCTCAGATTATGAAAGAACAAGCTGCTTCTCATGATACTAAACGTGTTTTCTACTCAACTGTAATGAATGACAATCCAATCGATTGCATAAGCTCGAAAGTGAATATCATGAAGATATCACCCAAGGTGGGTTTCAGATTGTTCTGAAAATTTTGGAGCCATTTACTCTGTTTGTATTGCTTCTGCGGTTCAGTAGATCACATGCTTGTGTTGGAAGTCATATTATTCAATGACATTTTTTTGTCTGTATTTCAGATAGTTCTGAAGCGACAGTTGTGTCAAAAGTTTGACTTCTATTTTGACATGGAGTATTGTGTAGAATACTCCACATTCCGAGCTTTGACTTCAGGTAAGTACGTTGATGCTCATTATGGTGCTTCATCTGACAGTAGTTTCCTAGCCTTACTTTCAAGTAATGAAAGGGAAGGGTGCTTAATATCTAAGGGAAGACATGAAGGCCAGCTGGTATGAAGCTGCAGTACTTCGATAGAAAATCCTCCTTGTTGACCATTCCATGTTAACTTCCACGGGAACTAGTATACTCTTCTTCTGAAAACATGTACTTACCCAAGCTAATGAGCACATGAATGGCATGCTTTTTGCCTACACTCGGTCAAGGAAAACTAGTAGACAGATAAAGATGTGACTATTACATCTTTGGCTGCATGCCTCTATAATAATGTGTGTGCCTGAGTGGATAAGTATTTGTTGTCAGTTCAATGCTAGCCTTGTCCGCATGGGAGCCAATATTTGTTTTTCTTAAAATAATATGCATCTAGCTTTGATTCTTTCTGGACAATAAAAAATAAAATGCTAAGATTTCCTCTCATATATCAAAGTCGGGTAAGATGTGATCAAGCCATTATCCTAAATTCCTAATACTCTAATGAAGGTGATAGGAAAATTCACAAATCCTGAGCACAGATCAAACTAAAGTATAAAGCATTTATAGATTAAGATACATGCAAGAGAAATTTTTAGATTGATTATGTTTCCAAACTTCTATAGGGGCAATGCAAGCCGTTCATTGACTGAATAGAACAACGAGTAGCGAGACTAGCGCGCCTGCCATGCCTAAAGCGAGACTACCTTTCTAGGTAGCAAAGATAAATGGATATAGAGATAGGGGAATGCTTATAGGAAGAAAGGAGACTAGGTTCCTAAACCTCTCAGGCAAGTATTATTTTTTTGGTAGAGCCTCTCAGGTAAGTTCATCAACCTGTAAATCCGACCTGTTAATTTGGATGGAAATGGTAGGCGCTGATTAAGATAGGCTGTTACTCTTTATGTGTAGGGTAGTCTCTAATTGTTTGATACTGATTCAACATTTACCTTTCCAATTAGCATGGCTCCTAAATGACTGGTCAACACATCATCTGTTAGGTAAAGTTATCCAGGTTTACAGTTGCATAATTTTCATCCAGATTCAATTGCAATTAGTGACCAAAATCACTGGTATAGGGAGCCAAATAAAAACAAAACAATGTTGGAGTAGTAAGTGAAGGAGCCTTAACAAAGAACTTTCACCTATTCATAATATAAAAGAACTTTGACCTAGTAGCTGTAACATTATTTTTTCCCCTACGTAACTAATTTCATACAATAGTTGTTTGCATGCCTGAAACCGCAAATAGATGAGTGAGGAATCTATATGTTGCTATCCAAATGGCATCTTTACATGACATAAGAGTATAAAGATCTTTTGAAATTGTCGTCTTCACAAAACATAATATTTTCGCTCTTACCAGAGAAATCCTCTTCCAAGGGACTGGACTCGTCAGCACCAAGTGACTTGGAGACTACTGCTGCTACAGATGGTGGTATTTCTGCTCTACCAAGTAACATTTCAGGGGAATCGGTGTCTAAAAGTGGAAATTGCAAGCGTGAATTAGTCCTATTAGATCTCTTTTCTGGTTGTGGTGGAATGTCTACAGGATTATGCATGGGTTCTAAACTTTCTGATGTTGATCTTGTGATGGTACTCAGTTCAAATCGACTCCTTATGTCATCTCCAATTTCTTTCTTTTTCCCTTTACCCTTTCTTAGCTGTGCTGGTTTTCAAATTGTTTCATTTTTGCACAGAGATGGGCCCTTGATAGTAACAAGTACGCACGTGAAAGCTTGAAACTAAATCATCCAGGAACCCAAGTGAGCTGCCCCTTCTACTTTTAGTTGGAAATCCTGATGGTCAGTATAATAAATAATATTTACCATCTTTTTGTCTAGGTTAGGGGTGAACCTGCAGAGGATTTTCTTGCACTGTTGAAGGAATGGGAGAAATTATGCAAGAAATATATGGATACTGTTCCTGAAAAGACACATTCCAGAAGATCAATGGCTTCAAAAGCTGAAAATTGGAATGATGATAGACTCAATGAAGCTGATGTCGCTGCTGGTGAATTTGAAGTCTCTAAGATAGTCGACATTTGTTTTGGTCATCCTAGTTCTTCTGGGAACCATGGATTGAAACTTAAGGTACATCTTTTCGGCCACTTCATGTTTGTTATCTAGAGAGGGGTATTTTCTTTTTTGTGGAAGAACAATAATCCTCAGCTTTTCAGAACGATTAAGAATGAACTGGACCCTGTGATCTGTTTAAATTTTGTCTGGCATCCTGTTATTTCTGTGATGGTCAGCTGTTCAAAAAGCCATAAACCAGGACATGGTATAGCTCAGGAATTTCTCTGTAGAAACTGAGTGGGCATGCTTGCTGCAGACAACTTCCAAATATCCGATATCCTGATGCATTCTGTCATATTTAGTATCATAGTATAAAAATTTGAATGTTGTAAATGATACCAGTATGTCTTTTTAAGTCAGTTACTTGTATTGAGTAATCTTTGAGAAGTAATTTGCAGGGGTTTCTGTTTTGCATGTTACAATTTTTACCCAACATCATGAACACTTTTGCATATTGCTGCTTCACATGTGGTAGATCTTAGATCTTAATCCTTCTTCAAAACTGACTATTGGGGTGACAACATGTGTTTTGTATCAACAGTATTCTGGATCCAAAATCTGTTTCATTTGGTTGTTTGGCTTCACAATTTCCTGCTCTTACCAATCTTGTTAGGTACATTGGAAGGGTTACAGTGTAAATGATGATACATGGGAGCCAATTGAAAGCTTAAGGTATTTTGGCACTTGTGATGTTCGCTTCTACTTGAGCTCATGTATCCTATCTTATTCATATTTGTTCTGCCAGTAACTGCCAAGATAGTATACATGATTTTGTGAGAAATGGGCGAAAATCAAAGATCTTACCACTTCCTGTAAGTCATGCTCTATTATTTTCTATACTTCTTTTGGCCTTTTTTCCTATTCTTATCTCTTTGTCCCTTATACTAGTTGTTTGTTCTGTTTGGATTCACAGGGAGACGTTGATGTGGTTTGTGGAGGCCCTCCATGCCAGGGAATTAGTGGCTATAATCGCTTCAGAAATTTTGATTCTCCACTTGATGATGAACGAAATCAACAGATTGGCGTTTTCATGGACATAGTGCAGTTCTTAAAACCCAACTTTGTGCTGATGGAAAATGTAGTTGATATTCTTAGATTTGACAAGGCTTCTCTTGCAAGATACGCTTTAAGTCGTCTGGTACAAATGAAGTACCAAGCAAGGCTTGGTACTGTTGCAGCTGGTTGTTATGGTCTCCCCCAGTTTCGTCTCCGTGTCTTCTTGTGGGGAGCGCATCCTTGTGAGGTAAGCTTCGATCTTCATTTTTCTAGTTAACAACCATCATGTAGAAACTAGAAACACCGTTTTTAAAGTAAACCTCAAGTTAAGACTGTCAAAGTCGGGTTCCACTTCATGCACTAGACAGAAGTCCTTGCACCTCGTGCCTTTAGTGGCCTTGACTTCTCGCCAGTGTACGTGCATCTTGTGCCTCTTATTTTCATCCACGAGGGCTTAAATTTGAATTAATGTTCTGTGGAGTTACCCCTGAAATTCTCTTGTTTCATTTTTGCCTGAGCAGAAACTTCCACAGTTTCCTCTTCCTACTCATGATGTTGTTGTCAGATATTGGCCACCGCCTGCATTTGAGGTACAGATTTTCCAACCAACAAAACATATATTTGGATTGTGTATCTAGATATTGATATGACTTTTTTTTTTGCAGCGCAATACTGTTGCTTATGATGAAGATCAGCCACGTCCATTAGAAAAAGCCTTAGTTCTTGAAGATGCCATATCTGATCTTCCAGCTGTAGGTTTATCTGCTCTTTCCACAAATTGCTTATTGGTTGGATTGTTTTCTCACATTCCCCGATATTTGTAGGTTTCCAGTAATGAACACCGTGATGAAATGCCATACGACAAGCCCCCAGAAACCGAGTTTCAAAGATTCATTCGGTCTCCAGAGTCTGGTAACTCAACCTCCTCTATTTGAAAACTCTTTCAGCCCTAATGGATTTCTCTGAGATTTTTAAACTTTTACAGTATGTTCCCTTTGACAGTGTTTTCATTTGCTATTTCAATTGATTGCTTGACTTAGTTGTGTGAGATTTCTTTCTCGAGTATCATGAACTTCTCCCTTTATCTGTGTACAAGGGAACTAATCAGTAATTGCCACATTACATTTCCTTTGGTATTTTAAGAGATGATAGGTCATTCAAAAGGTGGTGCAAGAATTGCCAAGGATGTACTGTATGATCATCGTCCTTACTCCTTGAGTGAAGAAGATTACGCTCGTGTTTGTCAGATCCCGAAAAAAAAGGTTGACTATTATGAGTTATCACATTAAATCTCCCTTCTTTCTCACTCTAATTGAGAAGCTTGATGACAGGGTGCGAATTTCAGGGATCTCCCTGGAGTAGTAGTTGGGGCAGACAATGTTGCAAGGCGAGATCAAAAGATTGAGCAAGTAATTTTACCATCTGGAAAGCCACTGGTGAGTGATTTTTCAACAATTTCCTTATGAGTGATCAAATTGACTGTCAATTTGTTGCTGAAGTTCTTGAGAAGATGAAAATAATCAACACTTATTTTGTGCATTTTGTAAAGTATTTCTCCATCTGGCAGAACTCATTGATAAAATGTTTCAAAGGCAATGCTTATGACGTCCACATCAATTTTTTTTACTGAACTAGCTTTCACTATCTAAACCTGTGTAAATGGAATAGAAATTTTTATCTTTTGCTAAAAAATTCAGGCTACAATGTGCTCAATCCTCGTAGTGCATTAACTAAGCTTCTTTAAGTCCCTTGAATATCTACTAGAGTTAGAAACTTCTGATAGCTACTTTTCATGTGTTGTCAGAGCATTTACATGTACAAGTTGTTCTTAGTGAATGGAAAACCATTATTTCTGAAGAAGAAAAAAAGCAGTATGTTAGTATCTAATTTATATATCTACTCATCTATATGCTCTAAAAAGAATTTGATAGTGGATACACAGACGCATACAAGTGCGTAAAAATAAAATACAAAGTACAGTAAAACAAGAGATGTATACATTTGGAAAAATTCAATATGTCTGTAAGCCTTTCCAAACATTAACGTATTTGTCAATAAAGTGCCACATGTTTGTGTCTTCTCCTCCAATCCCCTTCCTGTGGCTTTATTATCGTCACTGGTTGGCTAATGAAATGCAATATTAGTATTGTTACAATGTTCATTCCTCTTTCAGGTACCAGATTTTGCCCTAAAGTTTTCACAAGGGAAGTCTAGAAGGTAAGAATTATATGCATCTTTGTAGTTGTTGCCTTTCTTGTAGTTACTCAATTGTCTTGCATTAATGAGCACTTTCCGCAGGCCATATGGAAGATTGTGGTGGGATGAAACAGTACCCACCGTGGTGACATATCCAGATCTTCACAGCCAGGTTTGTTCCCTCTAGCTCTTGCCTAATATCTGTAAGCCGTATGCATGGTGTTTGTGGGTTTTAAGTCTCTAGACATGTGTGCAGGCAGTGCTCCATCCAGATCAGGATCGAGTTCTTACCATAAGAGAATGTGCAAGGCTGCAAGGTTTTCCGGATTATTATAGGTTCTGTGGTTCTGTTAAAGCCAGGTATGCAATTGGTTTCTGATGTCCTTTCTCTCTTTTGTACCCGGTGAAGTTAATATGCGCCAAGTGAGATGTCAACTTGAGTTCAGACATAATTGTGAACTATGATTGCATTTCCATATATATCCTCTGCATCTTTTTTTCAGTTGGAATTTTGTTTTGTCATTGCAAATTGCTTATTGCTGTAGTCCATGAAGCTTCGGAGCTTAGGATTGAATGTATTGCTGTGGGCCATGGGTTGTTTTAGAGTTTAGCAGAAATGTAGTGGCTAGAGTCCCAGCAGTCAAGCCTGTTCTTACGGGCAACGTTGGCTCTAGGTTGAACTAACAACTACGAGAGATAAGCAATAGAAGTGTTAGAATTACTGATTTCTCTAGGTCTTGGATTCCGGGTTCCTAAATGTTATCTGATTCAAGTTCATGGCAGCTGTGCACATCATCTTGTCCATTTACATCTTATCTTCAAACGTCCTGAATTTGCTAGTTTTTAAATTTGTTCGCCTATGCAGTTCTGGAACAAGTACACCGTCATTCTCTTCATTTCTCAAAATTGACTTCTGCTCCTGCTAATATTGTTGTGCTCAGGTATCGCCAGATAGGGAACGCAGTAGCTGTCCCCGTGGGACGAGCACTGGGATATGCCATGGGATTAGCAGCTCTAGGACTTGGTGATGATGGACCACTCATGACTCTCCCTAAAAAATTCTCCCATTCAACTAATCTTCAACTATCCGAGCCTGAGCCCGAGCCTGAGCCTGAGCTCGAGCCAGTCGAAGCAGTTCCAATCGACTGGATCTCCTAACCATAAGTGTCTTCCACCCGCCCATTTTTTATTCCTGCAGCATTGACTATGAGATTGAGGCTCTACCCGCAGTCTTATAGCTTGTGCCACTGCTGCTAGCCCAGGCCATTTTTTTCCCAGGCCTTTGTTGTAATCCTTGGCTAGAAATAATGCTACTAGTGTGACCTAGAGATGTAACTCAATAATGTTAGGAGTGTCTTCTGTTTCGTGTCCTTAAGTTCTTTCCTTTTTCAGGCCTTTGTTGTAATCTGGCTAGATAGAAATAATGCTCCTAGTGTGACCTAGAGATGTAACTTAATAATGCTAGAGTGTCCTTCAAGTGCCCTTCATAATACTACTAGTTCTTTGCTTATTTAAGGGTTGGAACCTTTCGTTTCTTCTTTTAAGATTCAGCTGCATTTTAAACATAAAAGAGTGCAGTGCAGTGCAGGCTTAGTGTAAATCTTACAAGTAAGACACTGTTCCGTGAAGGAGTGCCAAGTAAAGTTATCAGGTTTCTATCCCATTGAAAATGTTGAAGGCAACTTTTATATGTTTCTTTACAGCATCTGGTTCAGGGTTTTAAGTGCTCAACTCAGATTCCCTCTTTTCCTTGTAATTGAGATAAACTATAGTCTACAAATGGAAGATTATAATATACCGGCACAAAATACCATATTTGTGAATTTTTTTCTAAACACATTTGATATTTATCATCACATATAATAATTTTATGAAATTTATTGTTTTTAACTAATTTTCTAAATTTTGAAAATTTACTGTTGTAATTTGTCGCTTATGTAATGTCAATATATGTGTAATTGTTAACATATTGTTTGAAGTTATAAAAATCAATTATTATCTATGGACAACCTTGGATATCCAAAATCCGATCGAATGCGTATGATTTGATAATCTATCCGATTCTTATATATGTATGCGTGGTGGCGTCTTCGGTGCACTCACTTTTTTGGGTGCATTCAGTGCACTCGCTTCATAATCGTCATTTTAAACATGAGATTTATGTCAAAATGATGTCAATCATCACTTATGATGTGATGAACAATAACGCACATGAATTTGCACAAAAAACATGAAAGATTTGCTTTAATTTGAAGGATTTAGAGTTTAAAGATCTAGGGTTAGGGTTTACAGTTTGGGGTTTAGGGATAGGACTCAAAATTGGAGGTCTAGGGCTTAGGGCAATCCGCTAATTACTTGTTATCATATTTTATATCATCATATTATACTGATTCTACAAATTAAAATTCAAAATCCGACTCCTTAAGACTAGTTTTTGAGTTGGATGCATTGAACGTACTCATTTTTGTGAGTGCGCCGAAGTAGTCACCATGTATGCGTATAGGTAAAAGTCAAACTATTTCGAGTAGTATAATAAATATACACTATCCGGCCCCAACCCGACCCATTATCATCTCTAAATCCACTACTTGTCAGTTATTGGGCTTCAAGATCGGTGGAAATGTTTGGATGTTCTTTCTTAGTGGGCTTGCTGTAAACTTAAAAGTGAAAAGCCCATAAACTCTTCTGCCCGCCAAAGTCCAATCTAAATTCGTCCGCCTTCTTCCACTGCAACCACCGGCGCTACCATTTCTGCTTTCCGCCGGACTCCCGGGGGAAAATGAAGCTATGGCATCTTCGACGAAGAACCATTTCGAATCCGAACTTTATCTCAACTAGCTACTTCTGCACCAGCAATCCATGCAGACCTGATAATGACGAAAAAGATAGAGATTCCCACATCGTCGGCGTTCTCGAAACCATCGTACGAGGAAAACAAAGCTGGAGATCAGCTTTCAGCAATCCCTCTCTCTCCGCTTCAATTAGGACCCGCCATGTGGAGCAAGTGTTAGTTCGAACCGTTGACGACTCCAGGTTAGCTTTGAGGTTCTTCAACTTCCTGGGGTTGCATAGAAATTTTGACCATTCAGCCCTGTCCTTCTGCATTCTAATCCATTCGTTGGCCAATGCTAATCTTCAATGGCCCGCTTCTTCACTTCTGCAAACGTTACTGTTTCGCGAGTTGGAGCCGAGGCAGGTTTTTGAGGTTCTCTTGGACTCGTCCCGCTTGGGCAGATTTAGCTCTAGCTTGGGTTTCGATCTATTGATTCAGAATTATGTGGCCAATAAGAGGATGGCCGATGCTGCTTTGGTTTTTAGATTGATGAAGAGCAGCAGCTTATTTCCAGAAGTTAGGACTCTGGGTATGCTCCTGAATGGGTTTGTGAAGATTAGGCAATTTGAGACGGTTCTGCTTTTGTATGATGAGATTGTGAATGCTGGAATTATACCTGATGTTTACATTCACACAGCAGTTATTAGAAGCTTGTGTGAACTGAAGGAGTTCGTTAGAGCAAAGGCGATGATTCAATGGATGGAAAAAGAGAGATTGGAGGTAGGTATAGTGGGTTATAATGTTCTCATTCATGGGTTTTGCAAGTGCCAGAGAGTTTGGGAAGCTGTTGAGATTAAGAATAGTTTGACTCAAAAGAATCTAACCTCTGATGTGGTTACTTATTGCACGTTAGTACTTGGGTTGTGTAAAGTGCAAGCATTTGGTGCTGGTCTAATGATGATGAATGAAATGATTGTTTCCGGGTTTATTCCGAGTGAAGCTGCAATTTCAAGCCTTGTTGAGGGTTTGAGGAAAACCGGGAAGATCAGGGATGCTTATGATCTGGTAAATAAGGTTGGTGAAGTTGGGGCAGCACCTAGTTTGTTCGTGTATAATGCATTGATCGATTCCTTGTGCAAAAATGGGAAATTCAATGAGGCTGAATTTCTTTTTGCAGCCATGAGAATGAAGAGCTTATGTCCAAATGATGTAACTTATTCTATTTTGATTGATTCATATTGCCGAAGGGGGAAGGTAGGTACTGCTATTCAATCTCTTAAAAGAATGATTGAGGCGGGAGTAAAAATCACAGTCTATCCGTACAATTCTCTAATAAATGGTCATTGCAAGATTGGCAATCTGAATGCAGCGTGGTCTTTCTTCGATGAGATGGTTAATATGGGTCTGATACCCACTGTTGTAACATACACGTCACTTATAAGTGGACTCTGCAACAATACAGACATACAGAAAGCACTTAGGTTGTACCATGAGATGACTGGCAAGGGTATCGCTCCAAATATTTATACGTTCACTGCACTTGTACGCGGCTTCTGTCAAGCAAATATGATGAATGAAGCTGTCTGTATGTTTCAGAGATATGGTGAAGTGGGATGTTATGCCAAATGAGGTGACTTACAATATCCTGATTGAAGGACACTGCAAGGATGGGAACATAACCGAGGCTTTTGTTTTGTTTCATGAAATGCTGAATAAGGGTCTTGTTCCAGATACATTTACATATAGGCCTCTAATTGGTGGCCTTTGTTCTACCGGTAGAGTTTCTGAAGCTAAGGAGTTTATTGAAAGCCTTCATAGAGAGCATCGGAAATTAAACGAGTTATGTTATGGTGCACTACTTCAAGGCTATTGCAAGGAAGGAAGACTAATCGGCGCTCTGATTTCTGCTCGTGAGATGGTAGATCGAGGCATTGACATGGATCTAGTTTGTTACTCAGTGCTTGTAGATGGAACCATGAGGAAGCACGATATTAAAACGTTGTTGGGTCTTTTAAACGATATGCGTAATCAAGGATTGAAGCCTGACAATGTAATGTATACAAGCATGATTGATGGTCATGGAAAAATAGGCAACCTTAAGGAGGCATTGGGACTTTGGGATATAATGATCAATGAAGGATGCATACCAAGTACAATAACTTACACTGCCCTCATCAATGGTTTGTGCAAGTCGGGGTTGATGGATAAGGCTGTGCTTCTTTGCAAGGAAATGCTGGCCGGCGGTTCTCTCCCAAATCATGTGACATACACCTGTTTTCTCGACCATCTAGTCAGGGAGGGAAACATGGAGAAAGCTAGAGAACTTCACAACATCATGATGAAAGACTTTGTATCCAACACCGTTTCATGCAATATTCTTATCCGGGGCTTCTGTAGATCAGGTAAGATGGAAGAGGCAATGAAACTTGTAGATGGAATGACTGAGGCTGGTATTTTTCCTGATTGCATTACATACTCGACGATAATATACGAGTACTGCAGAAGGGGAAATTTGCAGGAAGCCATAGATATGTGGGGGAGTATGTTAAGTAAGGGCGTGAAGCCTGATACTCTAGCATACAATTTTTTAATATACGGTTGCTGTATTGTCGGGGAAGTGGAGAAGGCATTGGAATTACAAGATGACATGATGAGGAAGGGAATGAGGCTGAAATTAAGTACGCATAGTGCTCTGAATCATGCGACTCATCGTTTGACATTGAGAGGGTAATTCATTCAACCTTAAAAATGCTCTGAATTCCCACAGAAAAAAAAAATGCTCTGAATTGTGCTTGACTGTTTTCTCTGCTTTTATTGCTGTCACGATTCAATATATCACATGCTTATCTGAAGGAAGTCATGTTCAATGACAATTTGTGTCTGTATTTCAGATAGGTTTGGTCATCTCAAAAGTTTGACTTCTATGTTGACATGGAGTACTGTGCAGAATACTCCACATTCGGAGCCTTGACTTCTGGTAAGTACCATGATACTCTCATTATGGTGCTTTTAAGATGTTGCTATTATGTCTTTGGCTGTATGCCTCTATAATAAATTGTGTGGGTAAGTATATGCTGTCACAAGGCTAGCCTTTTCCAGTTTTCCTAATGGTACCTAATACTTGTTTTTCACAGAATAAATGTAGCTTTGGTTCTTCCAGACATTGTCTATTAAACTATAATGATAACATTTCTTTTCATCTATCAAAATTCAAAAGTCTTGTAAGATGTGATCAAGTCATTATTATAATAGTCTAATAAAGGTGATAGGCAAATCCACAAAGCCTGACTGCCTGAGGATAGATCTTGTAGTAAGTAACAGAGAATTATAGATTAAGATAAAAGAATATAAATTTTAGATTAATTATGTTTTAAACTTCTATAGGGAGCAATGCAGGCCATATAGGTTCCTAAACCTCTTACGTAACTTCATAAACCTGTATTATAAGCAGCGAGTGAAGGAAGTTTCACCAGCGGCTGTGACTTAATTCTAATTTCCTGAGTTTTTCATTATCAAATAATGCTCATACAGAAAGAAATTCTCTTTCAGACAGTTTTTTTAAGGCCTGTATATGGAAGCGTATCAGTAGATAATTATTGATCTTTCTTACACCTAGGAGTTTGTTGAGTTTCAGTGAGATGAAGAACCGTTCAAGAAGAGAGGAGAAAAGGGTTTGAAAGAGGGGGGTGGGGGGGGGGGGGGGGGGGTTTTTTTCCTCAAACTGAATTGTTATAAATTTCTCTTTCCAAATTGCTATCTCTACATACACTTAAATTTTTGGTTATAACAGACAATTCCTCTTCCAGGGGACTTGACTCATCAGCAACAGATTGGTGGTAGTTCTGCTCCACCAAGGAACATTCTCATGGAAGCTGTTCTGAAAGTGGATGTGGTGGAATGTGGACA